AGTAGGTTTCTCTGCCAATGCAGTAAGTCAGGTCAAGCAGATTTGAAAAAGTAAAGGAGCAGGTTTATTTTGAGAAAACAACTACTGGGTGAGTTCCCCAGTCCCCAGGGGCTGAGGCAGAAGAGGCAGCAGAATTTACATGTCCAAACTAAAGCAGGGAGCTTAACTGTCCTGCAGGCAAGGGGTGATGCCATTTCCTTTTGTGCAGCTTTAGATGGGGTCTTGGGCTGCTGGCAACTTGAAGGAATTAGCTGCCCAAGTCTCCAAGATAGCAGAACTGGGCTTTTTGATGCCTTTTCTTTGTTGGAGGTTTTCTGAGAGGGCAGAGTTTTGAGAGAAAGAAATGGCAATTTCTAAATGAAGCAGAAGTGAGTAGGAGATTCCCAGACAAACACTTAGCTTTGTTTAGAATTATCTTGGGAAATACAAAATCACAACTACAAATAATATGCTAAAATCCATATGGTCTATTAAAGATGACTTCATAGTAAGAAAGAGATTTTAATGTATAGATGTTAGCCAGTTTCACTCATTGCCAAACCATAATAACAGGAAATGGTTCAAAGTATTTCAAAAACTAGAAATGAATTCTTGATTCCTAGGGATCAAATCAAATTAGTAAACATCTACTGAAAACTGAACGGATCTCAGAGTGTATTTATTTCTTAGTGTCATCAATTATACTTTCATTTGCTGTTTCCGCCCCCAAAATTCAAAAAGTTATACATTGTTCCCGTAACCAATCCTGTATTACATTATCAATTAAATTTCCTTTATTAAAGAAACACAAAAATGCATTCCAACGTAAAATCCCTGTCCAGCCAGAAATTGTTGCGTACCTTGCTTTTTTATACTGAGTGTTAGACTGCTGACACTATTGTTACTATTAGAGCTAAATTTAGCAAAAATTAATGTTGCATTATAGTATACTGACTATATGTCATATTCTTTCCTTTATTCTAAAATGTTATTTACATACCATGAAAAATGTTTTTTCCCATATGTACAGGAATTTCTTTGTAAGGACTTGCTCTTATCCTCGATTTTGTGTGAGACATGGGTTCCCCCTTGTGGCTATATCAATGCATTTGCATTTTCTGTTTATAAAGTAAAGTTTCCTGATGTGGTATAGACAGTGAAGCAAGGCAGGGGTCACTTCATTGTGGAGACCCTCGGTGTCTGAACAAATGACCCCAAATGAATCTAAATAGAAGTGTAGAAATAATGTGTTGTATTTTAAATCTTTTAGTACATAGAAAACATTGGAGCACAAAGTTTATCATCAACAATGAAGCAATCTAATTGTTAATTCACATTAGCTATACAATAAGCAGCTCCCTGAGGAGTCAGCCCCAATGCCTGATTAAAGTCAGCTCTTCTCATTTTAACACTGCAGACCTGAGTTTCTCTCTTCCTGGGGGCACTGGGTGAAGAGTTCTTCTCCTGCTCCACCCTCTTGGCTCTGGGCTCCACTCTGCTCAGTTTGTGAACAGATACATCTTCTCAAATGACCTCTCCAAAGGAAAAGTCTTTGTAGTCAGCATAGACACAGTTTCTCTCTGTTCTCTTTGTTCCTTCTTATTACTCTTGGCCCAGTGCTAAGCACAAAAATTAAAAATTGCAAGAGTGCTCTGGGCAGGACGCAGAACATAGTGAACAACGCCCTTCAACTTTATGGGCAAACACATGACCTGAGGTACTTGATGACTACCCGTAGTCCAAAACTGATTTAAAGGGCCGAGTTTCCATCTTATGAAACTGATTTTAACATTCATTCCACATATATCAGAGTCTATTTGACCAGAAAAGAAATCGTTCTTAACCCAGCTGGATTTGTGGAACTTAGCCAGTTTTCTTCCTAGGACCCACCTGAGGCTAAATCAAGCAAGATTTATCAAAATCAGCCCCTGATTTAGTCTGACTTAACATGCAACTAGTTTGAAAACTATTGTGTTGAACACAAGAGGATCGTACAGGTAACACAGATGGGGAAGTATCACCAGGAGCATACCTGGAACACAATGAAATTGGGTTTACTGATTCCTTTCAATACAGGAGACTGTGTATCAAAGGAATGGTCAGTGACTCCTTACACAAAATCAAGGAGACTTATTTTAGTATATGGGAGGAGGTTTATTGTTTCAACTGGCACAGATGTACAGCACTATATCTAGAGGCCTTTTATCTCCACAAAGCTTGGCACCTCAGCTTGTAAATCGAGAATGCTTTTCTGTGTCAAAGTAGTCTCAATCCTGCAGGCAAGCAAGGGATTCTTTCCTAACTGATACAATTTCAAGTGGCAAGTTTTTCTTATATCAGATGATTTGGAGACCAAAGATTCTCAGTACGTAAAAAATACAGCAGTCACTTGCAGGGGACACTTTAGAGCTGTGATGTGTAGGGCAGTATTGATTCCTATTAAATTTGTGACTGGCTTTACTGAGCATTGTGAATGATAGGGATGCCTAATAAAATCCACGCACATTTTTTCTCTTTTTAAACATGATATCTGCTCCACAAAGTTGTCTTGGGGAGAAAGAAGGAACAGTTAGAGCCCAGATGGCCTGTCAGTGTGTTCATGTGTACTTGCTCATTCATTAGTTCAATAAAGAATATTTGAGTGCCTACTATATGCCATATCCTTTGCAAAACTTTGGGACCCCACTTATGGGCAAAAACCATGGAAATGTGCTCAGGAAACCTACAAGGTGATTGGGAGAAAATATTCATCAATAGACAATTATAATCATGTGCAGACAAGTTGTGGCTGCACTTGCAGATGGCGTTCAGTATGCTTTAATCCTATCCTAGGAATTCAGGAAACTGAAAAACAGTATGCAGAAGGGGTTGCTGACTCAGAAAATGTAAACAATGGTACCAAATGAGTTAACTACTTAATATGGTAGATAATAAATTGGAGAAGATTGGAAGCGTTAGGGAGTCAAAGGTCAAATGACTGACATGACATCTCAGAAAATGTGCAGACCATGCTGTGACTTTCTGCGGGGTTAGATTACAGAAGCAACACTTGGCTAAGCTGCTGGGAATCCCCCAGCCTACATCCGCCCTGACATCAACCTCACCCATTATTTCCTTCTTCCCCCACACAGTTGCCTTTTTTAATTTGAGGGAGCATGACTTTTTATCTTCCATTAACCTCTCACTCCATGACAGATCTGGACTTGGTACTGAGATAGAATCTTTCTGAACAAGATTGATCATTTTCCTGAAGACACTGGTAGCAGCTAGAGAGTTTAATTTGGAGCCTTCCGGACATAAATATTTTAGATTTCCCTTTCTCTACCCATGCTCTACATCGAACCAAAGCTTGAGTCAAGGACCTACTTCTTACCATACTCACTTTCTCACCCACCCACCTGTCCTCGTGGGTTTCTTTGTGGAAACCATTTTACTAGTCGCGGGTTCTAGGGGGGCTTTAATCACTTGGTATGGAGAGGGAGAGATGTTCAATGTTCTGAATTCATGAGCCGGTTCAGGTTGTTTTATTTTCTTTTTTAAATTAATTTATTCTCTCATATATTATATCCTGGTTGCAGTTTCCCCTCCCTCCTTTCCCCCAATCCCCATCCACTCCTCTTCCATTTCCCTTCAGAAAAGGGCAGGCCTCCCAGGGATATCAACCAAACATGTCATATCAAGTTGCAATAAACTAGGCACTTCCGGTCCGGTCATATCAAGACTGGAGGAAGCAACTGATTAGGAGGAAAACGGTCCCCAAAACTGACAACAGAGTGAGAGATAGCTCGCGCTCCTACTGTTAGGAGTCCCACAAAAAGACCAAGCTACACAACCGTAAAACATATGCAGAGGGCTAGGTTAGACCCGTGCAGGCTCCCTGGCTGTGGGCTCAGTTTCAGTGGGCCTCTATGAGTCCAGGTTTGTTGACTCTATATGTTTTCTTGTGGTATCTTTGACCTTTCTGGCTTCTACAATCCTTCCTCCCACTTCCTTCCTCCTTCACAGGACTCACTGAGCTCAGCCTAATGTCTGTGGGTTTCTTTGTCTGCTCTCATCAGTTTCTGGATGAAGCCTCTCTGATGATAATTATGCCAGGCTCTTGTTTATGATTACAGAAGAGTATCATTTTTCTAAGCTAGCACTTCTCAGAAGGATGTAATATTCCATTTAAAATATCCTAACATTCTTTTGAGAATTACTAGCTTAGAAAAATAGGCCTTTGCCCACTGAAGTTTGTAGAGAGCTGCGAAGTGCCTCACCCTTAAGATGGCGCTGGCTTCTGCCTTCTGCTAGCCCAACAGCAAGTGCTCTTTGTGATAAACAACTCCTTATTTGGTCAAGGCTGGATATCAGGCTTGCTTCCGCGTATGTGGACCTATCTGTTGTCGCCACATGACTTACCAGGGTTGGCCGCCCAAGGGCCTTTTTAAGCTGTGGGTGGGCACTCCCCAGGGTCAGAAGATTGTTCAAGGTTCCTGAATAAACTGCTTAAAGAAGACTCCGAGCATTGCATCTTCCTTGCTGGTCAAGGCGGTCGCGACAGAAGTTAACTCTTTTGAAGACTTGATTATGGCATGCCCAAAGCATTCATTCCTTATTTAAGACCTTCCTAATGTTCTCTGAAATACTTCAGAATTTTATACTTACAGACACAACCATTTCATGAAGACTACTATGATTTAGCACCATGAGTTTGTTAGTTTGAATAATAAATATTAATTTTATCTAATTTGTAAAACAAGGTGCTTAATAATTAGCAAAATGACATTGATAACAGGCTTTTCACTGGTGAAGTTGGTGATTAACATAAATGGTAAACCATCCTTAACCCTGTCCAGTATAAACAAGTATCAAGGCTAAATTAATCTTGCAAACCTACCATCTCACTCTTAGGTAGAGGAAAGAATGAATAACATATGTATGTACATATCTATCTCTCTCTCAACACATATATATATATATATACATATATATATGTAAAATTAGAAGTGTTCTAAAATAAAAATATATGCATATATATGTATATTTCAAAAAGTATTCCAAGAATTTTTATTATAGCGCTGTATATGACAATCTGAAAGTATAATTTATTTCAATGCCAATTTACAACAGAATATATGAATAATTTTCCAGGTGGTGGCGATGCATGCCTTTAATCCCAACATTTGGGAGGCAGAGGCATGTTGATATATGTGATTTAAGGGCCAGCCTAGTCAATGAAGCAAGTTCCAGGACAGCCAGGGCTACACAGATAATCCCTTGAAAAACAAAAAAATAAGTATTAGCAAAAGAATATATGCATAATTTCATTTTTTCCCATAATGAAATATTGTCAATGAACAAACCATAGCCATATATGGCAAAATTAATGTATTTCATCAACATAAAGGTGAATTAAAAACTCAAATCTCAATGAATACATGTTGCATTTTGGTTTAAACATTTTAAAAATTAACTATGATATGATGTGATCTTTCATGTAAAACACTTAAAGGCATTGAAAATGTACATAATTAAATAAGACATTAATTTTTGAAACAATAAATTGTGTATGAAATACATGACTCTTCTTGTTGTAGAAATATACAGGCAGGTTTCTAGAGTGGGAGGTGAGGTTGTACAAATACATTGGTTCAGATTTCAACAAGACACAGATGGGACAACTGAATAAGTCAAGAAGCCTTGTCTTAAAAGAAAAGAGGAATGCGTGGCAAGCAGGCGGGATGGTGCAGCTGTTCCTCACAAGGAAACTAGTGCAAGCTCCAGACCTAAAGAAAGGAGCAAAACAATTACCAAAACCCAGGGGAATATGATTTCCTGGAGACCAGTTTAGATAAGAGACACAGCTTTACAGTCATGACCACAGGAAGGAAAAGAGGGTCATAGTGTAACTCTCTCCTGTCCCTCGGTCCAGTCTCTTCTAGCTCTCACCAGTAAGCAATCCCAAATGGAAGCCAGTGATTCTACTAATGTGATCCACATAGGTCAGCACATCAGACAGATGGCAGGTGCATAAGGCTGGGGTGTGGCTATAGGGATTTGTGGAGCACTGTTTTATGTGCTTCCTTATTGTTTTAATGCTACAATAGTGTGAGAAATGTTTTAACAGTGGAAAATCTGTCTTCATGTATGAAGTGATGTATGTATATATATACATACATATATATATATTTCCCTTTCAAATGTGTATTTAAATGCATGCAAGAGAAAAAGAGGTAGAGCAAAAGTAGATTTTGTAGGAGAGTGTGTGAAAACATAAGTGTTCAGGTCAAGATTGTGTGTGTGAGACAGAGAGAGAGAGAGAGAGAGAGAGAGAGAGAGAGAGAGAGAGAGAGAGAGAGAGAGAATACATGAATATGTGTATGAGCTGTGGGAATAGTTTACATGTGAAAGGATATGCCTGTGATTCTACTGTGACTCAAAGTATCCAAGTACATTTGATAATATAGCCATGTGTGTATATGTGATTATGTATATGAAAAATGTGTTTGAATAGGTGGAAGTTGTATGTTGTTTACAGTATTCAGACACAGGTGTCAGACTATGAAGTAAATGGTATGTTAAAGAGTGAGATTGTGAGAGGTGTGAAAATATGTGTGCTTGTCATTGGTGTTTTACTCTTTGGCTCTTTGAGGGGGCCCATCACCAGGCTCTCAAATAATGACATGGAGGTTTATTCTTACTTATGAATGCACAGCCTTAACTTGACTTGCTTCCATCCAGCTTTTCTTATCTCAAATTATTCTGTTTACCTTAAACTTCTGGGCTTTCATATTTCTCCTTTCTAAATACCTTTTTTACTTCTTACTCTGCCACTTGCGGTGTAGCCGAGTGGCTGGCCCCTGATGTCCTCCTCTCCTTCTCCTATCACTCCCAGATATTTCTCCTCTTCTTTTCCTCCTATGCATACTCTCTGCATTCCAGCCCCACTTACCCTTTCTTCTATCTAGCTATTGGCCATCATCCAGCTCTTTATTAGACCAATCAGGTGTTTTAGACAGGCAGAATAACATAGCCTCACAGAATTAAACAAATGCAACATAAAAGAATGCAACACATTTTCGCATCATTAAACAAATGTTCCACAGCATAAAAGAATGAAACACATTGTCAACAAATAGTCCACAACATGTACTTATGAATGTTCTTGAGTGTGTGTGTATGTGTGTGCAGACACTGGTGAGATGAGTAGGGTTAAGGAATGAGTGAATGAGGTCATGTATATTAGGAGACTTGTGTGTGCATGGGGGTTTGCATAAGCATGTATGAGTGTGCAAAAATAAATTCCTATGAATAAAAGTAAAATATTTTTCTTGGAAGAGAGTTGGACACCTGAAACATTTCATATCTGTGACAGTAAGCTCTAGTGGCAGAATAAAACGGACATGAAATCTTTATGAAGTCAGAAAAGCACTAAATATTTCACTTTGTTCTCTTCACTTCAAGAACACAAGAAAATACACATTGCAGCTTTTGGGTGTTCTGCAAAAATATTTCTTGACTAATAAAATTGAAGGCAGTCAATTGTGACTATCTTAGAGAAGTCCTCATTGTGCTATCTGGGTTGCTTTCCTCCTGGGCACTTCTCTTCTCTCTTAATGCTCATGCTAATGTCTACCTTAAAGTATCTTAAGTAAATGCCACTTTTGCTTAACACTGGCTAGTTATGAACTTCTTTGCTGTGTTGAAGTTGTGAACCCCAGTTTGACCTGACTCCAGGTCCTGAATGAAGGGAATATCTCAGTCTGTAGTATTGTGTCTCCTTTCCTGCCCTGAACCCCAGCATTTATGCAATAAGATTTCTCTGTGTAATAATCACCCTCTTTAAAGAACTGAAAGAGACTTTGGGTTACTTTTCACAACTTCATTTTTTTCTGTATTGCTTCATTTCCTTAATAATGAGTAAAAAAAAATCACCAATTCTAAGCGAACTTGTTATAAAAGAGATTTTGGCAGTGAGAGTCTGAAGTGATTTTATACTATTAATTTATTTTAAGAGTTTCCACTTCATAAAAGAGACTTGTTACTGCCTGCCCATCACTGGCACCCTTTATTTCACATGTCATATGTGGGCTTCTATCATCATGTAACTGGAATAGGGTGCATGTAGTCATGAACGACTAGTTGTTTTATATAACAATTGTTTAAAGGTCATTCAGTATATTATATATTTACCGCACACTTAGAAAACAACCTTAGCTATTGAAATGTAAACTGGGTGTGGTGGTTTGAAAGTAAGGTGCTCCCAAAGTGAGTTGCACAATTAGGAGTTGTGGCCTTATTGGAGTAGGTATGGTCTTGTTAGAGAAAGTATGTCAGTATGGAGGTGGCCTTTGAGATCATATATATATATCGTAAGCCATGCCCAGTGTCTCAGACCACTGCCTGTTACTTCTCCAGCATCATGTCGGCCTACACACCACCATGTTGCATCATGAGGATAATGAATTAAACCTCAAAAAATATAAGCCACCCCAATGAAATGTTTTTCTTTGTAAGTATTGCCATGGTCATTGTATCTCTTCTCAGCAATAGAAAACCTAACTAAGACTCTGGGAAATCTCTACTGCAAATGCCTTTAAGCTTAGCTGAACCCATGATGCTGTTGGTTGCAGAAAACATGTCAGTCATCATTGAAGGTGCAGAAACCCCAAATGTCTTTTAGTTAACAGAGGATTCCCCTTTGTTTCCATAGATTTCTCAGTAGTGAGTATCAAACAGCCTCACTTCAAACAGTCTTACTCGATAACTGGAAAAAGCTGACACCCTTTTCTAGGGTAAAGGAATGGTGAGGGCACCATTATTCGTCAGTCACATCAAACCAGGGCTGAGGTTCTGTGAATACCTTATGTTCCCACTTAAGTTTGAGCTCTTCTGCAAGATCACCCCGGCCCAGTTTGCGAAGATGACGAGCCAGGAGGCGAATTTTGTCCATGGAAGTCGGGAGCGATCGTTTCCAGGAGCAAAGCAGTTCATGGATCTGCTCTGTCAGATCATCGGGGTGCTTGAGTATGACGAGCTGAACTGTGCTGCGGCGCAGAGGGAGGGACGAGGCGAGCACCTCAACACCTTCTTCAGAGAGCTCCTCAGCCAGCCAATGAAGTAAGTTATCCCAAAGAGCCTCTGTCAGGGCACATGCAAGGTTAGGTGAGGATAGTAAGTGCTTAGGCACTCTCCAACTCACATGATGTCTACCTGCTTTCAGGTCAAGTCTCTGAGAAAGAGGAAGCTATGAAACCACCCACAGGCAGTTGAATATCTCACAATCTCGAAGTTATCTGAATGAGGGTACTAGATACTGCAGAGGCTTAGCAATGCTAATGTCCCTAGGAATCAGAAGGTTTGTTAAAATGATTTTTATGCCCCTTCTTCATGATTGAGAGGTACTAGTGCAAGGAGGCTATTTGATATTTTTAAGGAGTTCTTGATAGATGCTGATGCTGGAGCCCAGACCACTCTTTGAATAACACCATGTTAGAGGATGCTTTACAGGTACAGACAGTTCTACTTATTAGTACTAATGAGAATGGATGCATGCATCAGGTAGTCAGTTTTCATAGAAAAAAAAACGCAATTCAGGGTTCCCGGGATGCATTTCTATGGAAGGTTCTTCACACTAAAATTTCCAGTGACTTCTGTACCATTTAGATGTGCAAGAATCTTGAGTACATGCAGCATGCTCAATAAAGCCTCTATCAAATGTGGGAACTGCCTGCTCATCTCTTGCATTTCTGATTCCATTTTGCAGTCATTACTGGTAATTATGGTGTGTGGTTTAGACTATCGTTCTATATAAGGTCCCTTTGCCCTACTCTCTTCTATTACAGCCATTTTCATCCTGTTATGCAATCACTCCACCTCCTACTACCTGGATGGATTACACTCTCAATCAAACTTCTTGTGAAGATTGTTTAGGAAAAGGGGCAGATACAGTCTCACTGGTTTTCCAAACAGCATGAGGCAATGCACTCATTTTGATGTCCATTACACTTTCTAGATCTTCCTCTCTCCATGTCCTTCACCCTTCTTTTGAAATGAGTAGGCAGTTTCATCACCAGCCTTGCTGATAACTATTTACTCTGCTAACCACAATGCTGTTGTCCTGTCTTGTGTTTACAAAACAAATAAAAGCCAATGCTCACATTTTATAGTTTTCTTTCCTTTCCTTTCCTTTCATTTTTTGCATTGCTAAACATCAAGACCAGAGTATGATACATTGTCAGTAGTCACTCTACCACACTATAGAATATAACTCTACCATGGAGCTACATCTATCCACAGTCTGAAAAATCTAGTGCTTCATAGTCAATGAGACTGATTCTTCCTATGTGGCCTAAATTTCTCAACATTATCTCTTTCCTCTACATCATAGACTTCCATGTCTGCAATCCCTCTGCCCCTCTGCCCTTGTATAGTAAGTACTTGCCCCCATCACTAGTGGCTATCCCCATTCACTCACTCATCCATGCAGAGTCCCACCTGCCTCTGCACCAGTACTACTCTAAGGGCTCAGCTCTTATCTATGATAGTGTGAACCAACTTAAAGTGTGTTTCCTCATTATCTTCATTATTTCCCAATTTCCAACCTTAATCCTGCTTTTTAAAAATACTTTCCTAACTACTTGAGCTTTCCAGAGTCATGAAAAGTTTGTTGAATGCAACCAGCTATGCTAATTTCTATCAAGTATACTATTTGAGATATTGACAAATGCACTTAAAAATATCTTGCTTTTCTAAATTCAGTTTAAAATGTTCTATGCCAATGACAAACAAATCCTTTCTTCTGCCTATAAACTTACTTAAACTGTCCTAGAATCATTTGGTTACTTCTTACAACAACTGACTATTACTCTGCATCTTCTATAACACCCATACTGTGTCATTGTTTTGTTTGTTTGTTTTTTACTAGCAGTATTTCATGTTTCTTCATTTCTCTTTCCTTAGTTAATTCATGTCCCTAGTGTGACTCGGTTGAGCCTTCCTGTGTCAGTTCATTTGAATTTTTTAAAGGAACTGTGATTTTTTAAATTTACTTTTTATGTAGTACAGTGTGTGTGTGTGTGTGTGTGTGTGTGTGTGTGTGTGTGTGTGTGGTACATAAGAGAATGTGGGTATACATATGCCATGGTGTTTACATGTGGGTTAGAAGATAATATTTGAGATTCAGAGTCAATTCTCTCTCACTGTGGAATTCATGGATTAAACTCCAGTCTTTAGGTTTATGTGAAGAGCACTTTTACCTACTAAGCTATCTTACCAACCCCAATTATTCCATTTCCTGTGTCTCCCCTCAATGAATTCATATACTCTTGCTTACTTACCTCTCTCCTATATGTAACATACCCCAATCTACTATACCTTCATCTTTGTTATTTTTCCTTAAACCTACTATAGTATTGATTTGCCTCTTTGTGAGAAATTAATTCATCTATATGACTGCAGAACAGGCATCTGAAATACTATATTTATAAAATTAAAACCATCACCTTTGGCCTTTCCTTCTTTCCAGCTACTTGGTCTTCATTCCATATGCTTGCTTCTTGGATTTTTAATGTAGTAGTTTGGTTGAGTATGCTAAAACACTTGTTATTATTCAAATTTCTCAAAGCCCATTTCACATACCCTTGTGTCTAAATACTGTCTCAACTTTACAGATCTCAAGCATTTCTTCTATTTTCCAGCCTGGTTGACACACTATTAAATATTCTTGCTATAGTTGGGATCTTGAATATTGTCCTTATAAGACCCATGTTTCTCAGCCTGTGATGCTATTTGGAGATGGAAGGATCCTTAGAGGGTGGAGCCGGGTGAGAGAAAGGTAGTTCATTGGGCCTTTCTTGTTGGGTGAATACTATGATCCTGAAGTCTTCCTGTTTCTTTCACAATGCTAGAAAGTCATGGTGAAACTGAGCCAAAATAAGCTTTTCTTATTTTAAATATTTTAATGTTTGTTTGGTTTTACAAGTATTAGTGTTTTAGCTGTGTGTGTGTGTGTATGCATGTACATGTACATGCAGTAATAACAGAGGCCAAAGGAGGTCATCGTGCTCCTTGCAACTGGAGTTGCAGATGGTTGTGAGCCACCATGTGGGTCCTGGGAGCAAAACTGAGTTTCTTTGCATAAGCAACAAATGCTCTTAACCACTGAACCATTTCTTCAGGTCCCTTTTACCATTTAAAAAAAATGATTTCCTCAGTTATTTTGTCACAGCATTGGAAGACTGACAACTGAAATGTTCTATCTACTTACTGAAAAGAGTTAAGGTTCTCATTCATATTGTTGCTATTAATTTTTACTTGTTTTTGTTTTCAACACAACTAACAAGCATTTATGATTTGATCTTGTTAATTCTTTTTTTAAAATCTGTTGAAAGACACTCCTATTATTTAGCCTTCTTAATTTGGCATTTTAAACATTGTTATGTATTATGGGTGTCTGTTCGAGGAAGCTGTGAACTTACTGTGAACTATGTATGGGGCAGAGTATAGAAAGTTCTTCCCAAAAGCTAGCCTTTTAGGAAGAATTGCATAAACTCTGATAAGTGAATACACTTGAAAGCAAGGTCGTGGAAGGAATACCCTGGTATCTCCAAACTAACCCCATGGGAAACACAAAAACCTAGGAGAAATATTCTTGTTTCTTTTAACATGCACAAGACGACAAGATATATTCCCTTGCTGTACTTATATTTGCTTAATCTAACTATAAACATCACCTTATGTTTTGCTTGCCTTAATAAAAATGAGAAGTGTCTTGCTTGCACTACTCTTTTGGAGATTAGAAGCCTATAGTCCTAGTTTGTCTCCACTCAGTTCTTTGCAATATATCATTCAGTCTTTCAGACTTAGCCTTGACGATCATGGGATAGGTCAACAAACCAAGTCTAACTCCATCAATGATCATTCTTCCATCTGAAGCTGTGATTATAGCTGGAACTTCCTAATACATTCATGGAGGAGCACCGGGTTGTTGTATAGTCTGATTGTCGTTGACAACAACAGCTATTGTGTTTTTATTTGAACATAAAATTCTTTAAAGGTTAACATGGTTAGACTTCCTGAGATTTCATCTACATCAGTGCAACATTTGACCTGCTGTCTTTTAAAAGTGTTTATCTGACGCACAATTAAACACTGAACTGAACTCCTAGAACCCAGTTGCACAGAGGAAAGAGTGATGAGTAAAGGGATCAAGACCAGACTGGTGAAACCCACAGAGACAGCTGACCTTAACAAGGGGAAACTTATGGACCCCAGAATGATGGTTGAGAGGTCAGCATGGGACTGATCTAGACCCCCTGAATGTGGGTGTCAGTGAAGAGGCCTTGGCCGTCTATGGGACCTCAGGTAGTAGATTAGTATTTACTCCTGGCATACAAATGGAATTGGGGAGCCCATTCGACATGGAGGGATGCTTTATCAGCCTGGACACATGGGGGAGGTCCCAGGCCCTGGACTTTGGAGATCCCCCATGGAGGGCCTTACCCTCCCCGTGGAGCAGAGGGGGGATGGGGCAGGGGGCTGGGAGGTTGTTGGGGAGTGGGGGAGGAGGGGAGGGAGAGGGAGCTGGGATTGACATGTGAAGCAAGATTGTTTCTAATTTAAATAAATTTTTTAAAAAGTTTATTTGATAAAGTATGTAATACTGAAGTTCATTTCTATTCTCTATACAATGCAGTTCAGGGGTGCCTACGTTTTCTGCACTAACCCATGAGGACTCCTAATCAGGATTCTGTTTGGTTTCTGGTGGATCTAATAAAGTGTGGAGAATAATCTGATGCCTTTGAAGAGCACAAGTTACAGAATTAGTTGTTTTAACATCATTAAATAATACATTTAAAAGCTCAAATAGAATAAAAGTGTCAAATATTATCTGGAAATTTGCATCTTTGTTAGGTAGCTACATACTTATTAATATAAAGCCTAACTAATTATGCATAACCACAATCAAATCTTTACCCTCTGGTTTCAGAGTTCAAAGTGTTCAGTATTATACTATCGAGCCTACTCTCTCTTGTTTCAAAGGAATACACACCTCAGTTTTCTCCTCTATTGACTGTTAGTATTCAGGCATCTGTACTAGCCTGTTCTTGGGGTTCTGACAGGATATACCCTCAGCTGCACTCACTAAGAGTACCTGTGCACACTCACTATGTTCCCTTTTAAAAAAGCCCTGCCCACCTCCCCTTCTCTTCCTCCTCCACCTCCACCTCCTCCTCCTCCTCCTCCTCCTCCTCCTCCTCCTCCTCCTCCTCCTCCTCCACCTCCTCCTCCTCCTCCTCCTCTGCCGCCCCTTTCTATTACCCTGTCTCTCTTCCTCTTTCCTCTACCCCTTTCCTTTCTCCCCTCTCCTGCTGATGCTGTCTCTGGAGATCAGTCTCCCTCCTTCCCTTTTCCCTTTTTATGATCCTTTTCCCTAATAATAACAAAAACCCTCTGCTTGAACCCTGTTGAATGATACCTTTCTCTCCATGTTGTTTTTCTTGCATTAGGCCTTAACTGACAACATCTAGATACTGACAAATGAAAGGAAGAGTTGGAATTGCACAATTTTGCAATAGTGCAAAACTATAGTGTGTTTACCAAACTAAGAAATTCCGTGCAATCTGAGCAAAATGCTTTCTACAGCTCATATTCCTGTGAATTACAATGTAAGTTTAATTATATTTGTTTGCAAATGCTATTTTAGATTATATGAATATGAATTCCCAGAGAGGTCCACTGATGGGCTTTCAAGCAATGATTCTCACCCTATCATTCCTTTTATATAAAAGAACTCAGATATATGTAAACTTTATGACAATAAAAAGTAGAATGACCAGGACAAAGCCTAAGGTCCTTACCTAGCGGGTCTGTAGACACTCTTTTGGTACTCTGTGGACGGTTGATTACTTTTTCATGCTGCTTAGAGAAAGGAAAGCAGAGTAAGCAGAGGAATACTGATGAACAAGCTACAGTTTCCATTCAAGACTTATCCTTATTTGAAAGACTCGAACTGCATACCATGTAAAGTTAAATTGTGTGTGTGTGTGTGTGTGTGTGTGTGTGTGTTCAACAGCTGTTTTCCTGTGTTAGAGCAAAGTACAATAACCCAAATGTACAGGAAATTTACACTTAGAAATACATATTTAAGTATCACCATAGCAACCGCATGAGCTCCAAGCAATTGAAGATAATTTAAGAAGCAACTTGTGTAAAGCAGCACACAAACCCTATCCCTTAACCACAATATTTCATAAAATCAATATGGGTCAGGAACTGGACCTCAACACTCATCTAAGGACTTGGTACCCAGCAAAGACTCAAACAACTGTGTGAATAATGCATGCACAGGATCCAAAAACCAGTTAAGTTTTTATACATATAGTTTTAAAGCATATTTTTCCAGAACTAATTACATAGTTAATCATTACTTTTTGAAACTACCTGAAGAACAGCATGTACACCATGAGTGTGGAAGAGTGAAAAACAGCTTAAGACATGAATCAAAAGTCTGTAGTATGAACAACTAATTGGAAGCTGAGAAACAAGGCTTCTGTGGAGCATTTGCCACATCAATCTCTGTAAAATGATTTATGAATTTTGTGATATTTATTAAAACTATCACAAAACTTGAACACAGTTCAGTACAGTTTCATCTATAGTGACACAAACACATAACAGACCAAGATAGTTTAAAATAAGTGAACACTACATCCACATCATGGAACAGTACTTATTAAAAATAAAAAACAAATAATTGAAGGCCAAGAAAGTCAAAAAATTGAAACATCAAACAGTTTCTAAATAGAGATGCCAAAGAACATTATTATGCTAACTGCAAAATTTCTGTTTCAAAATTATATATTCTAGTTTCTCTTAGATCACATTCTTGAAATGACAGATTTTTTTTCAATATGGGAAATATTGCTAGTGATTTCTGATAGGTGGGGATCAAGGGGATATGAATCTAAAGGGGAATAAAGAGTTTTTTGTGGTAAGGAACCAGTTCTGCACCTTGATGCTATACAATTCATTGAGCTACAAGATAGCATAGAGCTGCACACAAACATATCGATGTCACCTACCTGACTTGGATGGCATGGTACAGTCACATGGGATGCAACTGTTAAAGAGAATTGACTCAAGAAGACATAATTCTCGCTACTACTTTTCCAACTTTGTGCAAATCTACCTTTCCTTCTCTTGTTCTTCTTTGTGTGTGTGTGTGTGTGTGTGTGTGTGTGTGTGTGTGTGTGTGTGTACTGGGGTGGAACCAATGGCCACATACATACTAGCAAATGGTCTAGCACCAAGACAGAGGTACCCTGCCAGCACTCATTTTTAAAACTGCATCACAACAATGATAAAAGAATGATAAAATATCAGGTAGACCAATGGAATCGAATTTAACACCCTGAGATTAATCCACAAACCCATGAACAGCTGAATTTTGACAAAGAAGCTAAAATTATACAGTGGAAAAAAGATACCATCTTCAAAAACTGGTGCTAGCATAACTGGATATTGGCATGTAGAAGACTGCAGATAGATCCATGTCTATCGCCATGCACAAAACTTAAGTCCAAATGGATCAAAAACCTCAACATAAATCCAGCCACACTGAACCTCTTAGAAGAGAAAGTGGGAGGTACCCTTGAATGAATTGGTACAGGAGACAGCTTCCTGAACATAACACCAATACCACAAACACTGATATCGACAATTAATAAATGGGACCTCCTGAAACTGAGTAGCTTCTGTAAGGCAGAGGTCACAGTCAGCAAGACAAAAAGGCAACCCACAGATTGGGAAAATATATTCACTAACCCCACATCTGACAGAGGGCTGATCTCCAAACTTTACAAAGAACTCAAGAAGCTACTCTCGAAAACACCAAAGGACCCAATTAAAAAGTGGGGGACTGAGCTAAATAGAAAATTCTCAATAGAGGAGTCTAAAATGGCTGAGAGACACTTAAGAAAGTGCTCAACCATTAGGAAAATGGAAATCAAAACAACTATGAGATATCATCTTACTCATGTCAGAATTGCTAAAATCAAAAACACCAATGATAGCTTATACTGGAGAGGATGTGGAGAAAGGGGAACACTTGTCCATTGCTGTTGGGAGTGCAAACTTGTATAGCCACTTTGGAGATTGGTATGGAGAAGGAAAATAGGAATCAGTCTACCACAGTTGTATACAGGGAGGAGTGATGAACAAAGGGGTCAAGACCATTCTGGGGGAACCCACAAAAACAACTGACAGGAGCAAGTAGAAACTCATGGACCCCAGACAGACAGCTGGGGAACCATCGTAGGACAGAACCAGGGCCCCTGAGCTTGGGTGACATTTCAGAGGTGTGGGCATTTTATGGGGCCTGTTATGTGGAACCAGTATTTATTCCTAGTACACGAAGGAACTTTGGGATCCCATTCCCCTATGGAGTAATACTCTCTCAGCCTAAATACATGGGAGAGGACATAGGTCCTGCCCCAAATTATGTGACAGGCTTTGATGATCCCCCAAGGAAGGTCTCACTCTCCATGGTGAGTAGATTTAGAGTGGCATGGGAGGATGGGAGGGAGAGGGAACTGGGATTGATATGTAAAATAAGATTGTTTCTGATTTAAATTTAAAAAGTTAAAAAAGAGAAATATAAAATGAATGATAAAAATACCATATGTTAATATGTGGCATATCCTATGTATTTAAAACAAGAAGCTCACTGAATCTGAATAGCTGTTTTGTAGGAATACTTTTCATAGAAGTTATATGGAAGAATATGAAAAACATTAAGATGTTTCAATAGGAGGAAATTAAGAAATGAGTACATTTTCAGGTCTATTGTACTATAGTACTACATGCTAAATTAATTTGGATTCATCAACTATATGACAGACTCCTTAAGCCTTAAATATGTCAATTTATTTATATTATTAATTTAATTCATGTTTTTGTGAGTGTCTGTGTGTGCTCAGTAGAACCTGCCTGTTTCGCCTGGCATTGATGGCTCAAGTCTTTAATCCTAGCACTCTGGAGGCAGAGGCTGGCACATCTCTGTGAATTCAAGGCCAGCCTGGTCTAAAGAGTGAGTTCCAGGACAACCTCCAAGGCAATACAGAGAAGCCCTGTCTTGAAAAACCAAAAAAAAAAAAAAAAAAGAAAAGAAATTACCTGTTTCTATCACAAAAGTTTGGAAAGAATGGGTGTAATTTTTACATGTATAGATGGTTTCTACAGCACTAACATTGTTATAGATGAGTGCCCAATGTTCCATTTGTAATTACGAGGTAAGTAGAGGCTTGGGTAGAGAGAAACCCCATCACAATCAATGTCACCATAGATTTGGAAATAGTGTCTCACAGCATCCCTGCACTAAGCTGTTGTGGAACATCTGGTCTCTGAAAGTACTTTGGTCTGGAAAGAACTCAGCATTTCAGTATCAGCTAGGACTCACAGACACTGTAATGTGCTCTCAGGGAGCTTATGATGATGCATTCCCTAACCAAGCTGATGTCACTACAGAAGTACATGTGTAAGAATAAAGGGAAAAACAATGCAAAAGCAACGAGAGCCATTGTGGGCTGGCTTCAGTGTGGTTTGCTTGCTGACATCATGTCATCATTGGACCCTTCACCCTTCCAGCCTAAATGATTGAATGTGGGTCATAGTTGAGAATACAGCAAAGACCCAAATCCAGGGTCTGCCACAATAACTGGTTAAACCCAAAAGGATGCTTTAAAAGAGAAAATTTCAGGGAAACCAAATCATTTAGACTTTCACATATTTCTTAAGTGATTAAGTAGAAACAATGAAATAAAACTACATCTTTGAGACCTAGAACAATAGTCTATTTCAAATTATACCTTAGGTGGTAAATTCATTTCAAAGGCAGCTATGATAATGTTGTTGCACTTTGGTACATACACAAGAAATAAATAATAATTATCGTATTTAGTTTCTACTGCATTCCAGTATGCGGGTCTCCAGAGAAGAATCAGTTTCTATTAGACAATCATGCTGGAGATTTCCTGCTCTTTTAAGTATTTTTACACATGAATGTTACATAGTATAATGACAAAATAATACTTTCATGATAACAGAAAACAAGAAAGGTCATAATGTTTTTAACATGTATCTTGGGTCACTTAATCATGAAGATAATTTTGCAGGTGCTTATTGTAATATCTTGTGGTAAAACTCCCTCACCTGGTTCTGCCCCACACTCCACGCATTTCAACCACCTTGCCATAGATTTCTTTCTGGTGACCAGGTTATTTGTTTTGTTATTAAAATAAACTCAAATATATTTTTCCATTACATAAAAAATATATCGAGTATTTGTCTGCATATCTTCATTATACCTTTAATGGATTAGCAGGAGACCTGAAATGTCTGCATAGCTTTAGCAAGAGTTTTTATAAGAAGCATTTAAAATACCACAAGTGTTCTGGCATTCACTGTTCTGGTAATTTGAATGAGCATGGCCTCCATAGTCTTATATATTTGAATACTGGGTCCGCACTGGGTGGCTGCTTGGGGAGGATTAAGAGATGTTGTTTTGATGGAGGAGGCAACAGGCAGTTACAAAGCTTCAGATGCTTTCTGTCCTTCCCAGTGCTCTCTGTCTACCTTCTGCTGTGGAATGAGACATGAGCTCTCTGCTGCTGCTCTAGCTGCATGCCTTCATGTCTTCACTCTGCCATCATGAACTTTAACCCTCTGAAACTGTAAGCCCAATTAACATTTTATTTTATAAATTGCATTGCTCATAGTGCTTTAACACAGCAATAGAATAGTAACTAATACAACTACTAAATATAGTCTATTTTGTGTGAAAGATTCTTTAATAATAGTTATCATTTGCATTTGAATGTATTTATAGCAACATAATTGTAAACTACTTTCCTAGTTTT